TAATGTGTGTGTAGGTAGTGAGAAATTGAACTGCAGTCACAGGGTATTGTTGAAGTTAACGTTCGTTCGTTATAGTTTTGTTTTAGCGCGAATATTGAAATTAAGTGTATCGTAAAGTTCTATTCGGAAAGAATAAACCAGTTTTATTAAGTAAGGACTTGTGTCGTTAAAGTTTCGTCGGAACGAAGTTACGGAAAGTTAATTAACAGACGGAGACGTAACAATATATAAATAAATCTACTGTTGATAATTGTTTCTGTGCGAGATTCTTACATTATAAGTCATCAATATATTAACCAGCTAGGTGATAATCGTATGAGGTTCCAACGGCTGTATGTTCTTAATCGTTCAACGTTAGCACTTTGGAAACGTCTAATATCACAGTTAATTGATCTCACCAAAGAAAAGACGGCGTCTTGACGCCACTTCTAAAATCTCTGCTGGGGGTAGTCCAATAATTTCCATAATGCACGCTAGCTGATCAGCCTCGTTTTCACCAGGAAACAGTGGATATCCGGTGTAAAGTTCGACCAGAATACACCCAAGACTCCACATGTCAATAGCTGGACCATAAGGTACTCCCAAAATAACCTGAATAAAATTATCGTACGATAATATTATAGCTAACTGACGAACAAAATATCCATGTATAAAATTTCACAAAGGAATTTAATACGAAGAAAATGTGGTATTTATAAAGTTGTTGTTTTTAATTTTGTTTTGTACAAACACACAGTCATGGTGTAAAATGCATAATGAAACGTGTATTTTCTTATAGTGGATGAATACCGGATGATGATACCGTAATCATTTGAGAGCTAAATCAGCTATTATAGGCCCAACTACGCTATTACCATATCGCTATTTGTACAACGGCGAGATTACTTAACCAACTACTAAGCCTAACTGAAAAGCGAGATAGTCTCCAGCAAATTTGCCATATAGAAGAGTATAGAGAGGTATGTATGTGAAAAACACTCACATCAATGTTAACTGTATTACGTCATTGCTGGTTAACTGTAGAGGGCCAATAAATACAACAGTGGCATAAGGCTAAATAACGAATATCAGTAATACTACCATTCAGTTTAGAGTGTTACAAACATGTTAACACGCAGCTTGTCAGGATAACTTAGCTTTTATTAGCGCGTATCATGCAATCCACTGGTAATAACACTCGTCAAAATTTGTATTTTGGCAGTTCAACCACGTGTACCTTCGGACAAAATAACAAAATATATATTGGTTCTTAAGTAAAATATGGATAGCAATAGAATCTTTTAACCCCAAAATCACATGCCAACTATCATATAGGATTTATCCATCCCATTTAGTATAACTTCAGAAAAAAACATCACTTGTTTTCTTCTTAAATACGAAGTTACACACTGCAATTCAATTCGTACATCTATCTAAAAACGTGAGAAATATTTTCTATTCAAATATAAATTCGTATCTGCAGTAGAAACCGCTTATTGTCGCAATCTAAAAAAGAAAATAAGCACATTTTTGTTAAGTACAGGGTTTAAGGCTGATGGTCACGTTCTTATATACAATGTATAAGAGACGTCATTTCCGTCTCCGCATGAAATAAAAGCAAAATGGAGTCTAAAATATAGTAGCAGTCTTCCAGACTATAGAAAATTACATATATATTATATGAATGCTTACCAAAACAACGCTGTTATTATACAACTCTGTCTCGTATCTTAATGTAACCAAAATTATAAACCCACCTCTGGAGACCTATAAAATCTTGATTGTATATAGGTGTACACTCTCTGGTGGACAAAGCAAGAACTACCAAAGTCTATCACCTTTATGGAACTGCTTCCCCGTTGTTTGAGAAGGATATTTTCCTAAATCGAAAGTTTTGGAAAATAACAATAATTGATATAAGAAACAGCATTACGGCCGAAAATATCGCTAACGGCAAGGGTTAACAACTGACGAGTCAATATATTCTAATTATTATAATAAAGACGGTATATTCAATTAGACATATTAATTACTGGGTAAATTTTTAGTTCTGATCTACGTTTGCTTTGATTAAACGTTAATGATAATGATGTATAAATTTCAAAATAAAGAAACAGAAAATCTTAGACATATTAAAAGTTTGCAAGAAAGACTTCAGAAGATAATATACTAATAAAATATTGAATTAGTTAAATTAATTCTTCTTCTTTACTAATGATCGAATCATTAGAGTCAAAACATTTCTGAAAATTAAAGGCTAAATTTCATGTTCATAAACTTGGCAATATGTTGTCTTTGTGGATAAACGATTGTAAGGCTTTTTTTCTCTCGAAAATTAACTTATTTTTCAATCTTATCCATCTCTTAAGTCATAGTCTCCAAATGGACCACCAGTTTGCTTAACATTCGCAATAAAATGTTTATATAAGCTCTAAATACAGTTATGCACTTAAAAGCGATTAACATATGAATTTATGGAATACGTATTATACAGATTCAAGAAGATTTAAACTTTCTGTGATGGGTCAAAAACCTTAGATAAAGTTGAGCGTGTTTTATGGTGACAATGATGGATATAGAATATCCTCAGATATAATTTAGTTTACAAATATCCAGAGGGGGAAAAAAAGTTGTAATAAGATCAAATCAAGAGTGATATGGCCAAACAAACATGATAAAATAACCAATTGTAACCAACCAAAATGTAGACTTTTTGATTAAATACGGGAATAGTGACTGGTTACCATATAGAAAATGAAAATAATAAAAGTTAGAACGTGAAAACTGAATTAAGACTGACTACGACTTAAATGAAAAGTGACTAAGAAAATTAGTTTACTTACCGGTTTTAGGTCACAATGAATGATGTTCTCTCGGTATAAAAGACGCAGACACTGTATAAGCGAATAAGTAAATCTTCGAATAAGTCCTAAACTTAGGCCTTGATAGTTGTTCTTCTTTATCAGTTCATAAAGGTTCAGGCTACAGAGGTTAAACATAAGTTCATATATATATGACACCCCCCTGAAAAAATTATACACACACACACACATATATATATATAGTACAGAAAGAAATATAGAACATGTAACAAAAATAACACAATCTTCCGATGATCTTAATAACGAAATAATTGAGTACTTGTGAGAATCCCTAATAACAACCAATTAGATGCAATTATGAAATTCACTCTCTGAATACTTCTAAGTGGGGACAACTGTTCTCTCATACTATTGTCTCTCTATTATCATTACATAGTAATGAATGTCTGTAGTGCAAAGTCATTGCAAGTAAAAAAGAGAGTACCAATTAAGTTTTGCTCGCAGGTTTCGACGGTCGATTAATTATTTTTTAAAAAAAGGCCATTTGTTACATCTAGTAATCTTCTATATCCTGTAAACATCCGGTGTTCTTGAAGTTAGCCTTGTTTTCAGCGGTGTGTGTGTGTGTGTGTGAAGGGACTATATATAAATGTTTGCTTCAGTTTATGCTATAAAGACGTTCTTCAAATAACATTAAACACATTTATTTTTCGTAAAATGTCAGATACGTACCCCATTAATTCAAAGACGATACACAAGTGATTTCTGAAATGAAAGTGGTCAATAGTATGGATGACGTTATGATAACCGTCGCTGTCTTTCTTAGATAGAAGATCCAAAATTTTCACTTCGACTAGAGCTTGCTGGTGAAATCTAAGGGAAGATGAAAGTATAAAATTATCATTTGTTTTTACATTTAAAGACTGATTCATTTGAGAGTGATAAATAAACCAAGATTTGGTAAATACACTGAGCTAGTGAGTTTACAACAATTTCTATAATTACTTACGGATTACAGTTTAGTGTTTATATTTCAATAATTTTCGTAACAAAGTCACCGTGAAATTATTACCAAAATGACGATGGGTCAGGTAATATTTCCCCAAGGTTTTGGAAGGAGGTTAAGGATTGGATATGTGAGCCGCTTGTTATTATTTTTTGTAAGTTCTTGATTGGAAGTTAGCTAATGTCACTCCTCTTTTCAAAGGAGGTGATCAAAATTGTCCCAGTAATTATAGACCCATTAATCGTACATCAGATGAAGGATAAGGTATGGAGAAGTCTGATAAAAGATGCTTTGCAAAGCCATTTAACAAAGTTTAGAATTTTATTGAAAAATCAAAATGGTTTTACTAAGGTAAAATATTGCCTTACAAATCTTTTGACATTCTTTGAAAGGTTACTGCTTATGTAGATGAGGGTAACGGTGTAGATTTGGTGTAGCTGGATTTTCCGAAAGCATTTGACAAGTTGCCATATAAAAGGTAGGGGGATAAGTTAGCAACTTGGATAGAAGAAAGCAGAGGGTTGTTATAAATGGAGTTCAGTAAAACTGGATTTTAAAAGTGGGGTACTTCAGGGCTCAGTCTTAGAATCTCTGCTCTTTTTGATTAACATCAATGACATAGATGAAGGAATGGTCAATAAATTGCTTAAATTTGCAGATGATATTAAGGTCTTGGGTGTTGCTAGCTGTGAACAGGATGCTGCTGATTTATAAAAGGATTTGGATCATTTAGTGCGTTGGGCAAATAAGTGGCAGATGAGTTTTAATTATAATAAATACAAAATAATGCACGTGGGTTATCATAATTTGAATTATAAATATAATTTGAATGAGAATAACCTTAACAGTGTCATGAAAGAAAGGGATCTTAGTGTAATTATTGATCAGTCTCTTAAGCTATTCACGCAGTGTGCTGTTGCTAGTGGTAGGGCAAATAGAATTTTAGATTGAATATCAACAGAAATACTGAATACAAGTCTAAAGAGGTTATAGGTTCTTTGTATAGGTCAGTGGTTAGGCCACATTTGGAGTATTGTGTTCAGTCTTGGGCTCCTTACTTTAAGAAGGACATTGAATTGTTGGAATGGGTTCAGAGGAGGGTTACTAGAATGATGCCTGGGATGGAGGGATTGTCATACGAGGAGAGGTTGAGATCTCTCAAATTGTTTTCTCTTGAAAACATAAGAGTTAGAGGGGAATCTGATTGAGGTATTTAAGATTGTAAAGGGAATTGATAGTGTTGATGCATCATCTTTTTTCATACTTAACAGTGAGAATAGTAGGACTAGCGGACACAAATATAAATTTTGGCAGGTTAGGAGTCATCTTCAGCTAAGACAGTTTTATTTTTCTAACAGGGTGGTTGGCCTTTGGAATGGGTTGCCTTCGGATGTTATGGAGGCAGTAACTTTAAGTGAGTTTAAGAGAAAGATTGATAATTATGTGAATGATAAGGGCTGGATTTGGGATTTTTTAAAATATATTTATTTAATAGTTTTAGTTTATTTTAGAAGATGGGACAGCTGAGATGGACCAATAGATCCCTTGTTGTCCCCAAACATTATGTCATGTTATAATTGAGAAAATAGATACAATTTCTTTAAAGCTTTAATTTTAAAAACAACTTCATCCAAAATGGGAAGGATATGATATGAATCATTTCACTTCGCGTGAATTTTGCTTTACTTTTAACTAAACCTAATTTATGCACAACATTTACTTATTTTTATACCCTAAATGCAGAGCGAGCATATTTTTCCTAAAGTAATGCCTCTCAGTGGCTAAGCGGTAAATCTGAGGGCTCATACCGCTAAACACCAAGTTTCGATATATACTCGTGGTGGGCACAGTACAGATAGCCCATTGTGTATCTTTGTGCTTAACAACAAACAAACCTGAAGTAATTTTTATACCTTTTCTTGTTCCGAATGATTTTCACTGCCACATGCTGGTTAGTTTTGTGATCAAGTGCCCGAATAACTTGGCCAAATGATCCTTTTCCGATGACCTCTAAAATTTCATACCTATAGTATAGATGGTCATGAGGAACCTGAAAGATTATAAGATTACTGTTGGAATTAAACATGTTAATTAGTTAAAATCTAGCTCAATATTATATATATATAAGGTAATACAGCGTTTTTTAATAATTTCAAGCATCCAACTAATAGCAACAGCTGATAAAAAATAATTTTAATTATGTCTTGTTAAGTTAATAAATTCAAATTTCAGGTAAAGATCACTTTAACAATAATAATCAAGGATACCTTTTTAGTTTACATTATGTTGTTATTGTAGCATTTAATTTAAACAAACGAAACAATATGATTAAATCAGTTTGATCTTTGCTGATCAGGTCTGCCTGGTCCCTCAAAATAATGACCTCATTCTATAAACGCAACCAATGTTATACTCAGAAACGTTTCCAGCAACTAGCATGTCTTATTTTCTTTAGGGTTTCGATACCTGTGGTGGGCGGAGCACAGATAGCCCATAGCCCAAACAAACAAACAAAACTGCCCAGCGATTCGTTTTCGTACCTTTAGATTTCCATGAATAATTTTGTATATTTTAAACGATTGTTTGAAGTTAAGCACAAAGCAACACAATGGGCTATCTGTGCTCTGCCCATCACGAGTATCGAAACCCGGATTCTAGCGTTGTAGGTCCGCAGACACTGGGGGGGGCATTTTAAACGAAACACTATGAAACGAAGGCTTTATAACACTTATACTACATCAGCTTTTTTGTTTGTTTGTAATTAAGCACAAAGCTACACAATGGGCTATCTGTGCTTTGCCCACCACAGGTATCGAAACCCGGATTCTAGCGTTGTAAGTCCGCAGACATTCCGCTGTGCTACTGGGGGGCTAACTACATCAGCTACAATTATCATTATTACTTAAATTTAGATGAACTGTGTTTTTTAATACAATTACATTTTATCGTTAGGGATTTTTTTTCTCCAAGGTTCATTTATTATTAATTAGCGAATTGTAAGAAGAGAATGGTGACATTTTACAAGTGTTTTTTTTTGTCTTCATAGCTGTGAAGCAGATTGAGTTTTCATGGTTCAAAAATCTATCTGATTATACTGCATGCGTTTTATTAATCTTTTTGTTGGGTGAGAAAATATAAGTGAAACCTCGCTAATAATTCATTTTGCAATCAACAGTATTTGGCATAAAAGGTTTGGAAATATGTATTAATATTCATACCTTTAGCTTTCAAATAAAGAATTATATGACAACACATTAAGGGAAAAAAATAATCCAATCGGTTATTCATATCTGCTGTTTTTAAGTACAAACCTAATCGTAAACATAACAACCCAACAGCAAAGTTAACACAATTTTTTTTATATAGTTCTTTTTCTAAGCCAATATTATTGTTGAGTTTTTGTCCTGTTACGTAAATCTGTGTTATAGGCTGAATTGAGTACAACCACAATATTTTTACACGTATTATAGGCTGAATTGAGTAAAACCACAATATTTTTACACGTATTATAGGCTGAATTGAGTAAAACCACAATATTTTTACACGTATTATAGGCTGAATTGAGTACAACCACAATATTTTTACACGTATTATAGGCTGAACTGAGTACAACCACAATATTTTTACACGTATAGGCTGAATTGAGTACAACCACAATATTTTCACACTTATAGCTTTATGTATATATTTATTCATTCTCCTTAATTATTCCCAAAATGTTTTGTTCCCTGGTGGATCAGCGATAAGCTTACAGACTTACAACGCTAAAATCCAGGGTTAGATTTCTCGCAGTGAACAAAGTGTAAAAAGCCCATTTTGTAGTTTTGCAATAAAACAACAACAACCAAATGTTTTTGCTAATTTCCTGGTAAGATTTAGTAATGTTAATAGGTATGTCAAAGCCAGTGGCATAAGTATGCCCCCGAAATTTATTTTATGTTTTTTAGAGGGGGGCGAGCCAAAAGGGGGCTCGAATCATAACTACAATTATAGGGAAATAAACTTATTTATGCAAGGGGGGGGGGCTATCTTTTGTAGTTACGCTACTGATCCAGGAATAAAGTTTTGTTGTTTTTGAATTTCGTGCATAGCTAGTCGATGACTATTTGCGCCAGCCGTTTCTAATTTTGAAGTGACCGACCGAATAGTGAAATTGACCGTCCCATTATTACGTCGTCATAGCTGAAAGAGCGAGCATGTTCGGCGACGGGATTCGATCCTGCAATCCGCAGATTGAGTGTCGAGTAACCCGAATCACCAGGTCATGCAAGACCGTCCCCGCTATAAAACCGACTGCAGTTCGCGTATGAAACTAACTCCAAACTTATCAGTAGATATAATATTAAAATCGTATACTTTAAAAAAAAAATCTATCTTAATCTTATAATGGGATTACGTTTTTTTTATATATTGTTGGAAATAATTTGATCTAACTCGAAAAAAATATCTATAGTTTGAATAGTTTTTAACATAACAAAGAAATATATCTTGTAAACAAATAAAATTTCCTTGCCTTCAGATAGGAACCGTTTTCGTCGTCGTAACCGTTATTTTGAGGAGAACCAATTTCCCCTTCAATTTTGTTGGCTTCCAGTCCTATGTACCATAGCTCCTGGTACTGTTGTATTTCTGCTCGCTCAAAAGTGTTTAATCTCGAACCATAATATTTCAAAGCTTCTGCACATAAATTCGGTCGTAGAAAAATAAAATTGATTAGCAATCAAAAATTGCAACATATAGTAGGAATAAATTATATATATATACACAAGAATGTAGTTCTATCGAACTGGTGATTTTAAGTGTAAAACACCATTTCGATTTTCGATACCTCACAACTATAAAGGGTTGGTTTGGTCTGAAGTTTTATTCGGTGGTCGTGTCAGGTTCACTGATGAGGAGTGGAATTCTCCGAAACTAGTCTGGCCCACACCCCCCCCCCCCTCAATGAAAGAATAGACCATTCCAAGCTTTTACTTGTTGTGAAACAAATGTTTAAACAGCTCTGTTTAATAATATAGTTCTGCTTTAAGAAATAGTGTCACTCTTTATAGGTGCCAGATTTAATCTGAAATAGCTTTTTTATTATTCTATAGTTTTAATTAGTGAGTAATCAATGATACCTTGTGAAAAATAATATTCTCCTTACCTCTGAAAATGGGTCTTTACGTGAAGCAAGCGCAGATAGCCCTCGTGTAGCTTTGCGCGAAATTCAAAAACAAACAAACGTGAAGCAAGGGCTCTGGAAACGAACAAATTATGCAAGAAGTCTAATAGGCAAAACTCAGG